CATGGTTGTATACAAGCCCAGGGCGGTGAACCCTGAGGGGGATCGGGGTCCCTGCAGACGGCCATCTCTGGGGTAGTCCGTATCTGGTGACTTTGCTGGCATGGTGCTATACAAGCCCAGGGCGGTGATCCCTGAGGGGGATCGGGGTCCCTGCAGACGGCCATCTCTGGGGTAGTCCGTATCTGGTGACTTCGCTGGCATGGTGCTATACAAGCCCAGGGCGGTGATCCTTGAGGGGGATCGGGGTCCCTGCAGACGGCCATCTCTGGGGTAGTCCGTATCTGGTGACCTCACTGGCATGGTGCTATACAAGCCCAGTGATCCCTGAGGGGGATCGGGGTCCCTGCAGACGGCCATCTCTGGGGTAGTCCATATCTGGTGACTTCGCTGGCATGGTGCTATACAAGCCCAGTGACCCCTGAGGGTGATCGGGGGTCCCTGCAGACGGCCATCTCTGGGGTAGTCCATATCTGGTGACCTTGCTGGCATGGTGCTATACAAGCCCAGCGATCCCTGAGGGGGATCGGGGTCCCTGCAGGCGGCCATCTCTGGGGTAGTCCGTATCTGGTGACTTCGCTGGCATGGTGCTATACAAGCCCAGGGCGGTGAACCCTGAGGGGGATCGGGGGTCCCTGCAGGCGGCCATCTCTGGGGTAGTCCGTATCTGGTGACCTTGCTGGCATGGTGCTATACAAGCCCAGGGTGGTGATCCCTGAGGGGGATCGGGGTCCCTGCAGACGGCCATCTCTGGGGTAGTCCATATCTGGTGACCTCGCTGGCATGGTGCTATACAAGCCCAGGGCGGTGATCCCTGAGGGGGATCGGGGTCCCTGCAGACGGCCATCTCTGGGGTAGTCCGTATCTGGTGACCTTGCTGGCATGGTGCTATACAAGCCCAGCGATCCCTGAGGGGGATCGGGGGGTCCCTGCAGATGGCCATCTCTGGGGTAGTCCGTATCTGGTGACCTCGCTGGCATGGTGCTATACAAGCCCAGGGCGGTGATCCCTGAGGGGGATCTGGGTCCCTGCAGACGGCCATCTCTGGGGTAGTCCGTATCTGGTGACCTCGCTGGCATGGTGCTATACAAGCCCAGTGACCCCTGAGGGGGATCGGGGGGGTCCCTGCAGACGGCCATCTCTGGGGTAGTCCGTATCTGGTGACTTCGCTGGCATGGTGCTATACAAGCCCAGGGCGGTGAACCCTGAGGGGGATCGGGGTCCCTGCAGGCCCTGTGGGGCACACCCACTGTGAGTGGTAAACATTGGGCTGTGGGTCCTGCTGCTGTGGAGTGGTAACTGTCTCTGTAATGCGAACCCCATGTGTAGCAGTCCCCCGTGTCCCCTTGTGCTTGGGGCACCTCATATTTCTGCGTGCACTGTGGAGTGATGTACAGCCATAGTAATGTACAAAAGAGGGGGACTGGGCCGTGGCATGCTTGTGCAATGAAGTCCTCATCCGGTGGGGGGGGGTAATAGTAGGGAAGACCCCCACCCCCCAGTACAGTTTGCCCTGCAGTGGCTCCCCTACTGGTCATATCAATTCTGCATCTCTGCCCGTATCTGGGATCTCCACCAATTTCTGTGTCTAGGGAGGAGCATGAACGGCTCTCAGGCGCTCTCACTGGATGTAAATGTGGGGGCTCTCCTTCCCACCCCTTCTTTTTCTTTTGGGGGGCTATGAGATGTCTGAGGAACATCTTCTGGAGGAGGCAGCAGACGTTCAGGTTCGAGAGTCCTCTTTGGATGAGTCCTTTCAGGAGGAGTCTTGGAGTCCAGGCTGTTTTCCTCAAATTTGAAGTTCCGCTTCCAGAGTCCTCCTCTCCCATAGTCACTAGATTTGGGTCCCGGTGGCTGTCTACAAATCCCAGATCTTTTTCTTGGGAATCCGTATTTGTTGACTGGGCTCACCTGGAGAAGTGTTTGCTCCAGATAAAAAAAAAAAAAATTCACATAACCGTACCCCATGGAAGAGGAATTCTACTTACAATGGGGTTCCCCTGCAGTTGAACCACCCATTACCCACTTGAAGACCATGTCGGTTCCAGTCTTTGAAGACACAGCTAATAAGAGGTTACAGGCCCTCTTTAAATTGCCTTTTCCTTTTGTAGAAGCAGCTCTGTGGCTGGAGGTGGGAATTTGTCAAGCCTTCAAAGTTTGGGCAAGGCGTATGCTTTGTTCCAGAGAATCGAACCCGGGGAGATCCTGCCATTTGTGTACCCCTGGAGGATTATCCGAGAGCCTTGAGTTTCTCCATGGATTCCTTGAAAGGGGCTCCATACGGCAGCTTTCCAGGTTGGCACCATGTTTGTCCATATGAGAAAGATCCAGTGGTTCAAGTGCTGATTGGTTGAACTTCTCTACAAGAAGCACCTCGAGAGCCTGTCCTTTCAATGCTTTCACCCAGAAGGTGACTTTGAAGAAAAGAATGCTGGTACTCTGAAGGAGGCAAAATTGACAGGTCAGACATGGTGTCCCCCTTTGTAATCCAAGAACTCCTTTGGTTAGCAGCAAGCCTCAAGCTCTATAATCAGAAGCCTACATTCCACTTCCTTGAGAAGAACTGGAATTCCATGTCCTCCAGGTTCAAAAACAGATCCTGTTCATAGTAAAGGGACATCCCCACTCGTGGCAAGATTATTATTTTTTTTTTTTTTGTTTTCTCAGCCGTCTGGACTCAGGAAGTCACAGATGACTACTCCAGCAGTGTGGTGTCCGGAAGTTGGCGTCTTCCTGCTTTCCTCCTCCATGCTGAATGTGTTCAAGGGTATCGTCAGATCCAAAAAAAGGAGTGGTTTTCTTTGCAGCTCCAGGAGTCATTGCACCTGTACGGAGGAGGAGAGGTCTCATGGCTTCTCTTTAAATGTATTTACAGATTCCAAGCCAGAGTTGTCCAGCCTTTTCTGGACTTCCTGCAGGTGAAGAAAGTCAAAATGAAGTCTACCCACTCAGTGATTGCTTTCCTTCATCAGAGGGACTTCTGGCATCTATGGATATCAGGGATGCTTACCTGCACATCTTGATTTTCCAACCTCTCCGACGGTTTGTGGTTCATAATGGAGGACTGCCACTACCAGTTTGTGACATTTTCTATTCCTTCTTTCCACAGCTTCCAGAGTGTTGAGAGTTCGGGGTATTTTCATTGTGGGGGTACTTGGACAAACCTGCTTCTCAGAGAGCATTCGGCTGAGACCTTGACAACCAATTGTCCACCAGATATTGCAGGTCCTGGAATGTTTCGGTTGGGTGTTGGAACATTCAGAACTCGGCTCTGGTTCTGATGTAACCTCTCGGTGTAGGGAAAGCCCCCCCCCCCCCCCCCCCCCCCCTTGTCACCAGAGGAGCAGGCATTGATGATCAATATCCTGGTATTTCGGCGTAATTTGGCTGGCTCTCTACGCTGGTCTGCCTACCTTCGGGGTCTCCCTGTCAGGGTGCAGTCAGAAAATACCACGATCGTGGCATGCATCAAGGAGTCAGGCTGCACAAGGAGACATGGACCTGATCTTGTTCTGGGCAGAAATTTATGTTCTGGCCTTCTCCCCTGTACACATTCTTGGTGTGGAAAATTGGACTTCCTTAGCCTTCAACAGTTGAATCCAGGAGAATGGGTCCTTAACTCGGAGATTTGCCTGCAGTGGGGTTGCTGATGTAGAGATGTGGATCTCTTGGTGTCCTAATTCTGCAAAAAGCTGGACAGGTTTGTGTCCCGGACCAGGGTTCTCTCAGGTGTTGAGGGTGCCCTGGTGACTCCTTGGGATCAGTTGTCAGCTTCTCTGTTTAAAAGGATAGGGGTGGAGGGCATTCTGGTGATTCTGATCGCACTAGCTTGGCGAAGAAGAGGCATCATAAATCTCTTGGGGGATGAGCCCTTGGCTCCTCCAGATCAACCAGATTTGCTGTCCGACCCTCCATCCACCCACTGGCTTTAACGACATGGCTGTTGATGTCCAAGTCCTAGGGTACAGGGAGCTTCTGATCTTGTGGTTCCCACCTTTCTCAAGACTGGTAAGTCGACCTTCAGGAAGGTGTACCATCATATATGGAAGGCATGTTTTGTCTGGTGTGGGGGCTCGTACATTTTATCTCCGGTGTTGTAGGGCGCATTGTGACTGTTCTCCAGTCTGGAGTTGAGATGCCTCTGGTACCATCAAGGGGCACATCTCGGCTTTGGCCGTTCTGTTGCAGGAGACCCATCATATCTCATTCCTTGGTAGAAGTCTTTTGTGCAGGGTGTCACTGGGATTGCTTCACCCGTGTGGCCCCCTTGGTCTCTGTGGGACCTTTAAAAGGTAACTGCTTTTGTGGGAGGAATAAAAATAATAGAGTATGTACAATGTCTACACAGGTCATATTGTAACCGAATGTTATTAAAAACTGACCTTTCCTCTTCAAGCTGCAGCTCTGTCATTTTCTGTAAAATTCGATATGACTACGTGGATACGTTCTATATGACGAGAATGCCCCCAGATATGTCATTTCCGGCTTGTGGGATTGGCTCAATGATTTTTCCCAGAAGTCTGCAGTAAGATACAAGTCAGATTTTGGGCATCCCCTGCAACAAAAATGTTATTTTTAGTGAGATACCCCCAAAGAGAAATTGCGTCCAAAGGGATGCAGACCCTGCCACTTTCCTCATGAAAACCCTGCAGGTGCAGCAGTCGATTGATAATTATAAAATCATTCACATTCACTCGGCACAGGATACAGAGTAACAAACAGATATTTCTTCAGAATAGCAAAAGGTTGGAATCTGCAACAAAGTTGCATTCCCTTCAATGTATCGGCACTATATTGCCCAAAGTATTGTCCCCGCCCTTCATATCATGTGATTCAAATCTTCCAATCCCCTCCAAGTCATGTGATTCAGGTGTTACAATCCCCTCCGTATCATGTGCTTCAGGTGCTCCAATCCCCTCCATATCATTAGTTCAGGTGTTCCAATCCCTCCATATCATGTGATTCAGGTGTTCCAATCCCCTCCATGGACACAGGTGTATACAATCAAGCCCCTAGGCATGCAGACTGCTTCTACAAACATTGGTGAAAGAATGGGTCGCTCTCAGGAGCTCAGTGACTCCAAGCGTGGTCCCGTGATAGGTGGCCACCTGGGCAATAAGTCCATCCGTGACATTTCCTGGCTACTAAATATTCCACGCTCAACTGTTAGTGGGATTATAACAAAGTGGAAGCCACTGGGAACAACAGCCACTCAGCCACCAAGTGGTAGGCCACGTCACATGACAGGGCGGGGGGTCAGCGCATGCTGAAGCGCACAGTGCGCAGAAGTCACCAACTGTCTGCAGTCAATAGCTAAAGACCTCCAAACTTGGTGTGGCCTTCAGATGAGCCCAACAACAGTGCGTAGAGAGCTTCATGGAATGGGTTTCCATGGCCGAGCAGCAGCTGCATCCAAGCCTTCCATCACCAAGTGCAATGCAAAGCGTCGGATGCCGTGGTGTAAAGCACGCCGCCACTGGACTCTAGAGCAGTGGAGACGTGTTCTCTGGAGGGACCAATCGCGCTTCTCTGTCTGGCAATCCGATGGATGTGTCTGGGTTTGGCGGTGGCCAGGAGAAGGCTACTTGTCTGACTGCATTGTGCCAAGTGTAAAGTTTGGTGGAGGGGGATTATAGTGTCGGGTGTTTTTAAGGGGTTGGGTTTGGCCCCCTAGTTCCAGTGAAGGGAATGTTTAAGGCGACATTTTGGATAATGTTTTGCTCCCAACTTTGTGGGAGGAGTTTGGGGATGGCCCCTTCCTGTTCCAACATGACTGCGCACCAGTGCACAAAGCAAGGTCCATAAAGACATGGAGGAGCCAGTTTGGGGTGGAGGAACTTGACTGTCCTGCACAGAGTCCTGACCTCAACCCCATAGAACACCTTTGGGATGAATTAGAGCGGAGACTGCGAGCCAGGCCCCCTCCCCCGACATCAGTGCCTGACCTGACAAATGTGCTTCTGGAAGAATGGTCCAACCTTCCCATAGACACCCTCCTAAACCTTGTGGACGGCCTTCCCAGAAGAGTTGAAGCTGTTATAGCTGCAAAGGGCGGGGCCAACTCAATATTGAACCCTACGAACTAAGACTGGGGGGGCCATTAAAGGTCATGTGTGTGGAAAGGGCGGGGCCAACTCAATATTGAACCCTATGGACTAAGACTGGGAGGCCATTAAAGGTCATGTGCGTGGAAAGGCCGGCGGCTCAATACTTTTGGCAATCTAGTGTAGATCACTCAGAGTGGAATGTGGAGTTACTCTTTAATTTGGTCTTGCCTGTTCCACAGACTTCTCCATTGGAGCCGCCTGAAGGATTCTTTTGGTGCTTCTTAGTCATATAAAATTTGTCTTTTTGGTCACCTTTACTTCAGCTCATAGTCTCAGAGCTGGATTCTCTCCTGCAAGGAACATTTCCTGATTCATCACCAGTATAAGGTGTTGCCGAGGCCTAGGTCCTCTCACTGAAGATGGTTTCCTTGTTCCACCTGAAGGACATTGTGTTGTCATCTTTTTTTCCTAATCCGTAGTGGAAGGTTCTTCAGATAAATCCGAACATTCAATCGGTGAAGTCTGCAGTTTTCCCTGTTTGCTCTACCTGAAGGTCCTTGCAAGGGTCAGGCTACTTTTTGATTCACTATTTCTAGGTGGATTTGTTATCTCATGTCAGGCCTTTAGGACAAGGTTTCTCTTTTCCTGGTGTAGGTCCCCTCCACCTGTAGTGTCATTGCTTCCTGGGCTATACAGCATCGAGCTTCTATTCTTCAAGTTTGTGAGGCTGCTACCTGGTCCTCTCTGCACACGTTTACCAAGTTGTATCGGATAGATGTTTGTGCCAGTGTTGGGCAAAAGGTCTTGCAGGTGTCCCGTAGGGCTCCCTTATTCTGTTGGGACTTCTCAAGAAGTTATGAATATGAAGACACCCTGTTTCCAGCGAAGAACAATTAAAATGTTTGGTTTACCTGTAAAATCGTTTTCCTGCAGTAGATCACAGGTCATACAGATCCTTCCAATCTATGGCCAGTCTATTCACCTGAAGGTTGCAGCATAACCCAAGTAGTCATGAATGAGATGTACAGATAAAGCCAAAATCCTAAATACTGCTTCTCCTCCTCACCCCTCACCTCTCTTCATCTCTCGCCTCCTCACCTCTCCCATCCTTCAGTTTTCCCCCTCCTCACCTCTCCTGTCTCTCCATCTTTCTCCTCTTCCCATCTTATCTTACTCCACTATCCTATCTTTCTCCTCAGCACTCCTATATTTCTTAATCCTACTCCTCAACTCTCCATCTTTCTTCATCTTTTCCCTCAGCTCTCCGGTCTTGCTTCATCTTTTCCCTCAGCTCTCCGGTCTTGCTTCATCTTTTCCCTCAGCTCTCCGGTCTTGCTTCATCTTTTCCCTCAGCTCTCCGGTCTTGCTTCATCTTTTCCCTCAGCTCTCTGGTCTTGCTTCATCTTTCTTCTCAACTCTCTCTCTTTCTTCATCTTTCTTCTCAACTCTCTCTCTTTCTTCATCTTTTCCCTCAGCTCTCCAGTCTTGTTTCATCTTTCTTCTCAACTCTCTGGTCTTGTTTCATCTTTTCCCTCAACTCTCTGGTCTTGCTTCATCTTTCTTCTCAACTCTCTGGTCTTGCTTCATCTTTCTTCTCAACTCTCTGGTCTTGCTTCATTTTTCTCCTCCAATCTTCATCTTTCTTCTCCTCACCCCTCTCTCTCCATCTTTCTCCTCAACTCTCCATCTTTTTCCTGTCTTTCTTCATCTTTCTCTTCAACTCTTCATGGTTCTCTCCTCCTCACCCCTCTCTTTCTCTTCATCCTTTTTTCTCACATCTCCTTTCTCTCCTCACCCTCTCCATTCCTGTTATCACCTTCTCTCCCATCCCTCATCTTTCTCCTCACCTGTCCCATCTCTCCATTTGTCTGTGCTTCTTTTCTTTCTTTTTTTTTTTTTTTTTTTTTTTCCTTTCCATCTTTCCTCTCAACTCTCCCATCTTGCTTCATCCTTATCCTCACCTGTCCATCTTTGTTCACATTTCTCCTCAACTCCCTTGTCTTTCCTCATCTTTCTCCTCAACTCTTCCTTCTCTCTTCATCTTTCTTTTCCTCATCTCTCTTTTCTCTCCTCACCCCTCCCATCCCTCATCTTTCTCCTCCACATCTGCCCCATCTCTCTTCATTTGTTTGTGCTCTCTTTGCAGTCTGCCTTGTCTTACACCCACCCTTCAAGGTCTGCTTCTCCTGGAGGGTACAACCATGGGACTCCACCTCAGCAGCCCCACACAGTAAGGACCCCCCTCCAGCCTCCAGCCTAAACTTCAGTGTTTATTTTTTCGGGGCATTTTTTGATCTTTGTTTTCTCTGCTTTATTTCCTCAGTCTGGATTTCAGGCCTCCCCCCAGCAAACACACGTCACGTCTTCCGTTCATGCAGCACGGACAGAATCAGCGCTTCTACCACAAGTAAACATCTGGGATCTCTTATTACTGACAAGAATGGTTCTCTAATAGGATGGAAGCCGGATTGTAAATATTCTCCTCATCTCACTACCTACAAATGCTCCAACTAGAAGTACTGCTTCTTATCAAATGACAGCGGCTGTATGTACTGCCCAGCAGCTTGCAGTCAGGTTGAGGCCAGCACTGGAAAAGGTGTTGGAATGTGAAATCTTCATCTAATTGGTTGGTGTGGGGCAATACATATCGTTCATATGTTAGACTCTTCACTCCATGAGGTTTCTTAAGCTTTGCCTACGTTCCAGCCTGAATCTGCTTTGCCTCATTTCTCAATCTAACACGACGCCTCTGTCCCTCCCTTCCTTGGATCTCCATCTAACCCCCACACCTCTGTCCTCCCTTCCTCGGATCTCCATCTAACCCTACACCTCTGTCCTTCATTCCTCGGATCTCCATCTAACCCCACACCTCTGTCCTCCCTTCCTCGGATCTCCATCTAACCCCACACCTCTGTCCTCCCTTCCTCGGATCTCCATCTAACCCCACACCTCTGTCCTCCCTTCCTCGGATCTCCATCTAACCCCACACCTCTGTCCTCCCTTCCTCGGATCTCCATCTAACCCCACACCTCTGTCCTTCATTCCTCGGATCTCCATCTAACCCCACACCTCTGTCCTCCCTTCCTCGGATCTCCATCTAACCCCACACCTCTGTCCTCCCTTCCTCGGATCTCCATCTAACCCCACACCTCTGTCCCTCCCTTCCTTGGATCTCCATCTAACCCCACACCTCTGTCCCTCCCTTCCTTGGATCTCCATCTAACCCCACACCTCTGTCCTCCCTTCCTCGGATCTCCATCTAACCCCACACCTCTGTCCTTCATTCCTCGGGTCTCCATCTAACCCCACACCTCTGTCCTCCCTTCCTTGGATCTCCATCTAACCCCACACCTCTGTCCTCCCTTCCTTGGATCTCCATCTAACCCCACACCTCTGTCCCTCCCTTCCTTGGATCTCCATCTAACCCCACACCTCTGTCCCTCCCTTCCTTGGATCTCCATCTAACCCCACACCTCTGTCCTCCCTTCCTCGGATCTCCATCTAACCCCACACCTCTGTCCTTCATTCCTCGGGTCTCCATCTAACCCCACACCTCTGTCCTTCCTTCCTCGGATCTCCATCTAACCTTACACCTCTGTCCTCCATCTAACCCCACACCTCTGTGCTTCATTCCTCGGATCTCCATCTAACCTTACACCTCTGTCCTCCATCTAACCCCACACCTCTGTGCTTCATTCCTCGGATCTCCATCTAACCCCACACCTCTGTCCTCCCTTCCTCGGATCTCCATCTAACCCCACACCTCTGTCCTTCATTCCTCGGATCTCCATCTAACCCCACACCTCTGTCCTTCCTTCCTCGGATCTCCATCTAACCCCACACCTCTGTCCTCCCTTCCTCGGATCTCCATCTAACCCCACACCTCTGTCCCTCCCTTCCTTGGATCTCCATCTAACCCCACACCTCTGTCCTCCCTTTCTCGGATCTCCATCTAACCCCACACCTCTGTCCTTCATTCCTCGGATCTCCATCTAACCTTACACCTCTGTCCTCCATCTAACCCCACACCTCTGTGCTTCATTCCTCGGATCTCCATCTAACCTTACACCTCTGTCCTCCATCTAACCCCACACCTCTGTGCTTCATTCCTCGGATCTCCATCTAACCTTACACCTCTGTCCTCCATCTAACCCCACACCTCTGTGCTTCATTCCTCGGATCTCCATCTAACCCCACACCTCTGTCCTCCCTTCCTCGGATCTCCATCTAACCCCACACCTCTGTGCTTCATTCTTCGGATCTCCATCTAACCCCACACCTCTGTCCTTCATTCCTCGGATCTCCATCTAACCTTACACCTCTGTCCTCCATCTAACCCCACACCTCTGTGCTTCATTCCTCGGATCTCCATCTAACCTTACACCTCTGTCCTCCATCTAACCCCACACCTCTGTGCTTCATTCCTCGGATCTCCATCTAACCCCACACCTCTGTCCTCCCTTCCTCGGATCTCCATCTAACCCCACACCTCTGTGCTTCATTCTTCGGATCTCCATCTAACCCCACACCTCTGTCCTTCATTCCTCTGGTCTCCGTCTAACCCCACACCT